GAAGAATATGCAGAGAAAACCGCTTAGTAGCAATCGAATGTGATTGGTTCTTACTTTTAGAACCAACGAATCAACGTCAAGTGTTGACAAGACGATAACTGAGCGCTTTCTCTGCTGAACGCGGCCATTGGTAGATTTATCGACACGCATTCACGTAGAATCTTTAAAAGCGTGCTTCCCGAACGCAGCCATCATCAGCTGATTAGTGATTAGTAGTTGCTTTCCATTTACATCAAAACTCAGATAATTCTCACTTGTGACGTCATAATTCAGTTGAATGCACGTTCCTTTTGATGCTAGCAAGTGAGATTCAACTGAGTTTTTACGTGGTTTCTGCACACGATCAAAACCGTGTGCTTTAGCGAGTCGTCTAATAGACTCACATTAAAAGTGAGGTTATGAATCTGCATTGTTATGTGATAGCTTTGTTACCGAAATAAGCAGGTCAATGATATTTTCTATAAATGAAGAAAATATAAGAAAGTACAACTTTTATTATCATTGTTCGAGAAAAATAAGCTCAATTTAAGATTCTTATAAACTGGTCAAGGTCGCGATCCGTCTAGCGCTTCTCGTTTGGCGCAAGTAGCGACTGCGGACACATTTGCATTACGTTGTTGCTATTTTTAGAATAAAAAAACTCGCACGACGTAGTGCAACAAACATTTCGTCATGAAGAGTGATGCGTATTTAATTATCAGCAACGCAAAAAAAGCACGTGGCAATTTTGCCGAGCTTTTTCGGAACTAACAACTACATTCTATTTCCACTCGATCTATTATTTGTATAGTATTTTAGATGTACATATGTAACATTTCGTATTATATTTGGCACTATAGATATATTCTTTATTCGATAACGTTTTTAAAAAAATCTTTTAATAAAAAACAGATCAGACTCAAATTGGAATGCTGTCGCAATGCATCTTGTAACATTATTTTCTTTACAGCGTGAGTGCATATCCATACATGTAGGCCAAGCCGGAGTACAAATTGGAAATGCTTGCTGGGAGTTGTATTGCTTGGAACATGGTATTCAACCCGACGGACAAATGCCATCAGATAAGATTTTGGGTGGCAGTGATGACAGTTTCAATACCTTTTTTTGCGAAACCGGCGCTGGAAAGCATGTACCTCGAGCTGTATTCGTCGATCTCGAGCCCACCGTTGTGGGTAAGTGTTGTGCAATAAGTATAACAATATTATATTATTATTATTGTATGATTTAAGACACGGAGTGCGAAAAGTGAAATTGAAACTTTCCAATCTTCTTTTAGACGAGGTACGCACAGGCACGTATCGACAACTGTTCCATCCAGAGCAATTGATCACCGGCAAGGAGGACGCCGCCAACAATTACGCGCGCGGCCATTATACAATCGGCAAAGAGATAGTGGACCTGGTTCTGGATCGCGTTCGCAAATTGGCAGATCAATGCACGGGACTACAGGGTTTTCTGATCTTCCACTCGTTCGGCGGCGGCACCGGCTCCGGTTTCACATCCTTGCTGATGGAACGACTGTCGGTCGACTATGGTAAAAAATCGAAGCTCGAGTTTGCGATTTATCCGGCACCCCAGATCTCGACGGCCGTCGTCGAACCATACAACTCGATCCTCACAACGCACACCACCCTGGAGCACTCTGACTGCGCGTTTATGGTGGACAATGAGGCAATATTCGACATTTGCAGACGTAATTTGGACATCGAACGACCAACCTACACCAATCTGAATCGATTGATCGGTCAGATCGTATCCTCGATCACGGCTTCGCTGCGCTTCGACGGCGCACTCAATGTCGATTTAACGGAATTCCAGACGAATTTGGTACCCTACCCGAGAATTCATTTTCCTCTGGTCACCTATGCTCCCGTCATATCCGCGGAAAAAGCTTATCACGAACAGCTCTCAGTCGCCGAGATAACAAACGCCTGTTTTGAGCCGGCAAATCAGATGGTCAAGTGCGATCCGCGTCACGGAAAATACATGGCATGCTGCATGTTATACAGAGGTGACGTAGTACCAAAGGATGTTAATGCAGCGATCGCGACCATCAAGACCAAGCGCAGTATACAATTCGTCGATTGGTGCCCCACAGGATTTAAGGTTGGCATCAATTATCAGCCACCGACCGTAGTTCCCGGCGGGGATCTCGCCAAGGTCCAGCGCGCCGTATGCATGCTCTCCAATACGACGGCGATTGCTGAGGCTTGGGCGCGGCTCGATCACAAATTTGATCTCATGTACGCGAAGAGAGCCTTTGTGCATTGGTACGTCGGCGAGGGGATGGAGGAGGGCGAGTTCTCGGAGGCTCGAGAGGATCTCGCCGCCTTGGAGAAGGACTACGAAGAAGTCGGTATGGACTCCGTCGATGGCGAGGGAGAAGCTGCGGATGAATATTAAAAATTATCGATTCCCACTCTCTTCTATATGCTCTTATCATGATGCGCTCTTGCCTATTATTAATTATTTTTTTATCACTTTTATCCTTGCCTAGTATCCGGAACTCAAAGCAACCTACTACGGTAACTTTATTTTCTATTTCTGATTCAATCTTTTACGTATCTTGTGATATATAAAATTTTCGACAAGGAAATTGTATTTGCTTTGTTAAAATATCACTCGATTGCTTGAATAAACGCTATTAAGAGATGTATGTATAAGTACACATCTAAAAATATTTTCTCGTATATTTTGTAATATTATTTATATATTATATCAACCATTACAATAATAGATTGCATTAATATATACGTCTTCGATCGTACAGTTATTACCAATCATTACATAATACGCGAATACCATAAGGATGGGAAGAGAAGGTGAGAAAAAAAAAAGTGGAAAATGAGCGAATTTTTTCATAGACGTCTAGTCAGTATATAAAACATCATACAATCTCGCAATGAATCGTCATTTACAGAAAACGCGACTTGAATTCGATTAAATCACGAGCTCGCAATTTGTTATGCTGTAGGTATAATAACGATGATAATTGAGAGTTGACCTTAATAATATAATACTCTCTATTAATAGTAATATAATATTTTTAATAATAAAGAGCAAATAATAATAATAGCGAGAGTAAATAAATCATTAACACATTAATTTCACGATTCAATAAAACAATATAAAATAAAATATAACGTCAATATTGCCACCTCGCGTAAACATTGAAAAAACATTAAAAATTTTTAAAGCAATGTGCATGCGTGTATTTTATTTTTCATTGTCTTGTTATCTATTCGTCTAGTCTTTCTAGCCATCTCGAGTATGAATGATTTATAATCAGAACACACTCTCTCTGTCTCTCTCTTCTCTTCTCTGATAGAATAGTATACTATATCTTTAATACCTTATATCTCTCGGAGATCTATGTATAACACGAATCGCATTATACATAATCATACATAATCGTACGTTATTATACATATCTCATATATAGACAGTTTAACGCAGATTTTATTTGTACAAAATATATACGTTGTAAGCGATCGCGATCAATTATGAATAACGTAATCATTAGTGTTCAAATTATCAATTTGAACAACATTCCTCGATAGCTTCAACAAGCTAAATAAATACAGAGAAGAAAAACGTTTAATCGTTTCAATCGTAACTTTGAACGCTCTTTATAAAATTCTTTGTTTAATTAAAATTCTGAAAAAAATATTCTTATACTTAATCCGACTTGTTGAAGTTATTTCAAAAAACTGTTATTCAATCGCAAGTGACATGCAAATGATCAAAACAGATCAAAGAGAGAATCACTCCATTATCGTAAATACGATAAAGAATGAAACTGACATCTCTCGAATACTAATTGTTAGACTAATCGATTGGTAAAAGCATAAGGACACGTTTTTACATCAATGAGTAAGTGATTTCCTAATTAAAAAAGGAAAACAAAGGAAAAGAATCATACACCGTTCCAAGCTCTCTTTCTATATATATGATACAACAAATACTCATAACAAATTTCGATTAGAAATGTTAAAGCCATTTCGTCATGTCCAATATAAAAAAAAGTATCTGTCGAAAGCGCTTTATCTTGGTTCCACGCTGTGATCGATTTAAATTTTACCGTGGTCATATCTTTCTAATGAATATATATAAATTTACCGAAATCACGTTTTTAAAATTGATACAATATAAGCCGATGAATATTGCCGTGGGCTCTTGGCTTACTGTCAGCATTACATTTTTATCGAGTTATATTGACATCAGCACCAATTTCTAGTTTAAAAAAAGAAAAGGTTGTCGGCAACAAACGCGTAATCAACAAGAATATCAATACGGCACAAATTACTTTGCACAGGATATCGATCACGAAGACGAATACACCAATCTGGGACATCAGACGCGATTTTATTGTCAGGGATGCTTTTAATAGAGACACAGTTGCGTCTTTGCAGACGCGAGATCTATATCCCCGTGACAGTCTCTCGCATGCCAACATTAAATTTTAGAACACAGCCTTTCGCATGCATTTCTATATTTTTATTACGATAACGCTGACCGTATCGCCCAATGGAATCCATAAATCATTCGAAATATATTTCATATATCTTCCAATTAACATTCGCGCGCGTAAAGTTTGCGCTGTAAACTCTATTACATACCTCGCGCGTTCTGCGAAAGAAGATTAAATACCTTCCTCCTAATCTAAGATTACCAATGGTAATGAAAGAATAAAGATAGTTTTAAGATAGAGGGAAAAGTAGAAGCAAATTAGCAACGATGAGACCACAATATAGTAATAACGTCGACAACAATGACGAAGATGACTGTGACGATGAGAATGATGGCGATAATGATAATGACGATATAACGATGGTGACAATTGTAATGATAATAATAATGAAGATGACGACGGCGACGACGACGACGATGAAGGATAACGACAGCGACGACATCGACGATGAGCAGGAAGAGGACGACGAGGACGATGGCAACGGCAACTGTGTCGATATTGGCGAATAAAATAACGAAGACGGCAATGATGACGCCTCTCTATCTGTCTTCGTCGCAAAGTATGCATATGTAACTCTTTATTGCGTTACACACAAACGGGATAGGAGAGGCAAAATTAAATAGCGGATTAAATACATTAGCGCGCGACGCTTAACAAATTAAAAACGTAAAAACATTAACAGTACAATATAGTTTCCTTATCGTAGACGTAATGCGATGGCAGTCTTGAGTCCTGGAAAGATGCTGTGATTGTTGCTCATCCGCTTCGATTTTTCGCATATCCTCCTTCCTTCTCCTTTTTTTCATTCTTCCGCCATTCGTCTGTGCTTCGTTATTCGTCGAATATTTCGTCCTTTATTTTAAACCGAATTCGCTTCGATCTTGAGTTTAAACTTGTATTTTCGTTTTATTATTTACGATAAGCTTTTGCTTGTGGCAGTGTCTGCAAATATAGATTAGCTCAGCGTCAATAACATTCGGATCCTCCTTTCGCATGAGTTTCGTCAATCATTATACTCGAGAAACTCTATTCTTTCTAGATAATTGCGCGCGAATGCAATTCTATATCTGAAGAAACATGATTTTTGATTTTTATTGCATCGAATGCGAAATGAAATTTAGCACATCTAATTTAAAGAAAAAGGATGCTTCTTCCTACCTTCTATGATCAACAAATTAACCATCCTCGAGAGAAATGTCGGCTGAGATGATCAATTGAACGAGCGAACGAGTGAGTTGCCAAAATCCTTTTTATCATTTATTGAAGAAAAAAAAAATAATATTCAAAAATAAATGTCAGAAAAGTAGTCAAACGATTAAAATATTACTAATAAGAGCTTTAAACTCGTTCGGTCGATCTATAGATCGTAGATCGTAAAAAATGCTCTCTAGTATAAGCATACAAACGCTTATAAGAAAAATGCCGTTCAATAGATTTATAAATATATTTGCTCGACTTATCTAAAATATCCCTTGCGTATTGAATATCGATCAAAATCCATGGAATAAGAAGCAAAGAGTAAATCGAACTTGGATTCAATTATCTTGAACTCGCTTACATACCTGAGTTATAACTACCTACGCCTCGACCGACTTCTTCTTTTCTTTCTTCTTTTTAAGGAAAGAAGGCGTCCTAAGGCCCTTCTTCTTCTTCTTTTCCTTCTTTGGCGATTCCTCGCTAACGCTCACATCCTGCGACATGGAACCCTTAACACGGAAGGTCCCAACCGTAACCATAAACCTTTCTGCATGCACATGCATAAGTGTGCGCCGAATTTTCTCGCTAATCGTTCTATTAGCCAATTATAATTTGATTGCATGCAAACCAGGACATAATAGAAAAATTTGTAGAAGAGAATCTATGAAACGACTATATATGCTTGTGAACGAGCGATGTATCTATACGATAAAGATTAATATAAAGCGATGATTCGCTTAAATATCGGATACGCTGTATCTTAATTGTTATATTAATATTATAGAGAAAAAAATATTTTATATTTATTTTTACTGCGAAAACAGCGTTACCCAGATGTTTACGAATGTGTGAAATTTGTGAAAGCAGGACGATGTACTACATATGCGGAGATTTATATTCACTTTGTTTAAATCATGTTGACGTAAAGTACGATCGATTTCTTTCCTGACAAATCAATGATTCATTTCTCGTTTTGCCCTCCCCCCGTGATTTGAGATATATGTAATAACGTTGTTTAACCATACGTAACACAGAGACATGTCTGTATCTGTCATTGTCTCAAGATTAAAATCATATATATGCGTAAAACGTGTGAAAAATTAACGCAATATATCCGGTTCCCCGCATATGATGTATGATAGTACTGTACGATGATCTTGATATTAAAAGTATTGTGCGACAAACCTCCTTGCTACTTTGCGAGAAAGTACTGTGATGAGCGTCCGAGTGATCGCCATTTACGGTATTCTCTCCTAGAACACAAATATGGAATTATATGAAACTTAGATTCTCACAAATAAATTAAAATAAAATTATAATTAAATTCATGAGGCAGCGATCAAGTCTCTAGTCAGTACATCTTTTTGTAATAATTTGTAAGCCAAGGGATCGACATATCAATCACACCAAACTTAGGCAGCTGAAAATTACGTGTAATTATATTTTAAGATCAAGAGAAGCGAGAGAAAGAGAGATACACACACAGAGATATACTTTACCTTTTGAGAAATGACGATTTGTTGCCAAACGTATTCGTTCTTGGATTCGTTATAAAAAATCAATGTGTCCAAGCAAATAGCATCGATCATTCGTAGCTTGCAGGATGCGTGTATACCACCGAAATAGTAGCAGGTGTTAATGGTGAGGATTAATACACACACACAGATCCAAATGTATATATAAAGATGGGTATATAGAAAAAATTATAAAAAGTGTTATATGCAAACTTTTATATCATTAAACGTGCTTCAAAATTGTTACGATATTGTATAAATCATACAAGCATTCGCAATTTAAGTTAACTTAAATACAATATCGTTAGTAGAAAGCGACGAGTAAATATGTAACAATGTAATGTCGATTAAACTCATTAGGCAAAAAAATATCGAGAAAATAAATCAGAATATTAAAACAAATACATTAAATAATGAAACTCTTTGTCTTTAAGTCACAACTTGACTAAAAGAGAAAAAGAAAAGAAAAAAAAACTAAAATCTCAGGAAATGTTATATACATAAACGATACTAGTACTCTTATAAATGTTAATACTAATTCATATGTAGAAATTGTCAACATTTCCTTTTCCTATTCAGATATGTTTAAAGTTGATTGCGCAAAAAATGCGTTTTGTTCATACATAAAGAGATTCATAGAATTTGAAAAACTACAAAGGAAAAGAAAATTGTAGAACAAGAAATAATGAATAAGAAGCATTAAGAAATATTAAAATGTCTTCTTTTCTTCTTAACATCTAACGTTTGCGCGTTTACTCGTGCCGCTTTTACGATAGAATAAATCTTTTCGTTTATCAGCTTAAAATGTATGAAAACTTGACATGTTGATAAGCTAAATAAACGCGCGTACAAAGTGAAAAATTGACTGTACAAACTATTCAATATTATAAGAGATGCTCTTCAGATCTGATTAACGCTATAAAAAAAGCAAGAAATTTAGTTCATCGATTAATGTAATTAGAGTAACCGGCACTCAAGCTAAAATACTGTTGCAGCGGTTGTGCATATTGATAAATCAATCGTTGAAATTCTTTTTCCCCAAAAAAATTGGGAAAACAATTGTTTAGTAATTTGACAATCGCAAAATTAGGATAAAATATGATTTTCTAACAGGGTCAGCTACACGTTTAATGGTGAACTATCCGCGATAGCCTTTTCCAAGCGTATAAATTCATTAGTGTCGTACGAATAAGACATACAATCTATAGACGAGTTCAAGATATCGGGCAGTTCTTGAACATCGTTTGTCTCATCGTTATCAGAGATAATGATGGAGCTAACTTCGGAGATCGTGTAGGTTTCGTCGAGAGAAACAGATTGCTTCGTGGAATTTACTGTACTGTTCTCTTCGACAGCGTCGACAGAGCGGGTTTCCAGGTGATGCGACGTTTCGTCGTTGGCATTTTCTAAAACGAATGTCGTGTCGTGTGGAGTTTCGTCCAATTCCTCACTTATAGGCGTTAGACAATTTAATTTATCTCTTATCGATTCTTCATCCTTCTCTTGGCAATAATAGCATCGACCGCACGGCCACGTTTCCGTCTCTGATTTCGGCACAGTTACGTTCTCGCTATACCTCGTTTTATCGAGGATTCTATCAGTTTCGGTAGAACCGCGATCGTTGTCAATTGAATTTTCGTCAAATACCCGACAAGCGATATCAGGCAATGTATCGGTAGATTCGTCCGGCGAGATTTTGATAATACGAAAGTTTAATGCCAGAGTGCTCGGTTTCTCGATCGGTGACCTCTTCGCTATGGTGCAAAATTCGATTACGGCGGAAGATCTTGGATCCTCTTTCTCATGTATCGTCGTTTGATTATTATAACCGGCAAAATGTGGCGATAAATTTTCTAAGAAACCTTTCATTCGACAAATATTATCGATATCGTTGTTGATTACCGTCGAGACATCAGATACGGACGTGCGATCGGCAAATTCTGTGAGCGAATATTCGTAACAACAGCTATAGATAAATTGGCGTACGACGTCTTTTGCGACGTTGAGATCGTAAATAGAAGAATCGAGGAACAACAGAATGTAAACGGACTCGATAATCTCGGCGAGGATATGTTGCGCAATTTGCAGAGCGTCATTTGATGATGGCGCTTCTTCATCGGGGGCGGCGTTAAGATCGGCGATGATCTCGTTAGCAGACTCGTTAATACCATTGTGAAAAACTTCGCCATCGATATCCTCTAATTCGAGAACCGTGCAACTTGGTAGCTCGAGTATGTCGGAACCGCTCGCCGAATGTCTTTCAGATACTGAGTCGGAACTGCTATTATTGCTCGATATTGTTCTACGATCTTGTAGACACTGCGTGGATTTTATACATTCTGTTTTGGTCGTCGTTGGCTCTATCCATACATAATCGTCTAACGCGTCATCGTTATCGCTTCTCGTTGTATCGGATTGCCATTCCGACGATCGTTCCGCCAAGGTATCGTCGTTGCCGCTTTCCTCTTGAACCGCTGGTGGAGTTAGACTGTAAATGAGACTCATATTCGTGGAGTCTAGATTGTACTTGATGCAAGTGTCCGTGTCGGGTAACGCGTCCAGTTCTGTTTTCGACGAAGAAATATTTACGTCGATGCTCTCGACAATTTTTGTAATGTCGTTGCAATACGATTCGTATGTGTCGTCGATCTCCGCTTTGCTATTCGGCCAATTGCTTTCGCACATGGATTTTTCGATCCATGTGCAAATACTTTGTTTCTTTAATTCCGTCGCGTGACTGTTTATTCTTTTATTCATCGATGCTTCTTTATCCTCGCCGCATATGTAATGATCGGTGGAATGTTTATTGCAATTGTTGGAAGATAAATCGTTTAGCGATTGCAAGCTTTCTTCGTTATCGCTACTATCGCGTTGAAACGTCTTAGTACAGTCCTGCATCTTCGTCATTGTTCTTATTGTCGGTTTTGATGTACGTTGCTGCTGTTCCCCATTCGTTGCCTGAATCGTCAAATCTAAACAATCATTGCTCGATTTCTCGTTGTCTCTTTCTCGAATTGTCAAAGATTCCCTTTTTACAGAAGCATCCTTCTCATCAATCGTCATTACGTGATTCTCACGTTTTACTATCTCCTCGAATTGATCATCGTCATTCGTACAGAACGCGATGTCGCGAGAGCTCGGTTCTGTATCCTTCACATTGACTAGTTTAACGAAATCTGGTTGCGCAATATTCTCCCATTTCGTAGAATGCATCACAATATCGTCCGAATGCGTCTCGCCATTCATTTTCTCGATGCCTTCTCTTGTATCCCCATTTGTCAGGTATGTGTGGTACATTTTTACAGGATGAATACGTAATTTTTTACTCGCAGAGTCCACTATGGAATGTTGCTTAGATACGTTCTCTCCATTATTCGCACTCATCGTTCCCGTCTTCGAATCCGTTGCCGAGTTTTTTTGACGCCCGAGATCCTCGAAAAATTTTCGTCTCGCCTCGTAGCGAGACTTTGCGACAATCTCGTCCCGGACGATCGCGTTCGATTGCAATTTCATACTTTGCTTGCTAACGGACATTTTCGAATGTGTAATAAGAAGAGGTTTTTTACGTTCGGCAATTGTAGAGGTTCTAACGTTCTCCAAATGAAGGCTATCGTAAAGAGATTTGGAAAACCGCCGGCCGCAGTACACACGTTCGTTGCTCATGCTGCTGCAATTACTGCCTAGTTCGCAATCTGCAAACATTAATTACGTCCCAATAATATGTCTCAAACATAAATCCGGCAAATGATCGATTGGTGCCCGTCCATCTCGTTTTAGAGAAACGGAGAACGTTCACGGATACTCTGACATTCTATCCGCGAAGTCTTCGTCGTCGCTCGAAATAGGTATTTTTAGTGCTTTAGTTTTAGCTATCGCTATAATCAAAGCGCTACACCCACTTTTTTTCTGTGTATTTTTTACACTTGTATTTATGTTATAATTGCGCAAAAAAATACGCTATTTATTTATCTACCTTGAATAAAATTATTACTCACCGTCATTTACTTTACTGTACGTGATTATTACATGTGATTATATATTTGCGTTACACAAAAGAGAAAAAATTTTAGGAAGATCGTATAAAGAATAATTATCTTATCGTTAGTTTTATACAGAAATCGATGATGCTTCTTTCTTATCTCTTTCGCGTTAGTTTATTATTTAGAAAAAAGCCTAATAAATGATAGAAAACCACACCCTAAATTAGATAGAAACACGTGCGAGTTTCAAGGATTTTTGTAGCGTTTCACACACAGAAATAAAGAGAAAATAAAATTAAATAAAAAGTGTTTTAACGTGAACGATCGGTTATTGATGCAAGCATTAATGATCGTTATTTCGAGTGGCGGAAGGAGACGAGAGGGCTTTTAAGGCTTATACGTAGGCAAAAGCATAATAAATTTGATGACTTTGCATACGTATCTCTAGCAATAAGATTAGAATGAACATATTTGCTCAAGTTTACACACACACACACACACACACACACACACATATACAAACATGCTGTAATTTAATGATTTGTGGTAAATTGGTCGTAGAGATGCGAGTGTCATGTGCAAATTGTTGCAAATAAAAGCTATGGCCATGCATCGAGGTTAAATTAAAACAAATGTCTTTATATCGCGTAAAACATAACTCTATCCATTTCACTAACCATTCGTTGACCATTTACATAGATCGAATGGAAAAACATTCACTTGGAGTAAAATAAAAATAAAAATAAAAAAAAGAAGGGAAAAGACTTACCATCACTTAACACGACTTCGGGTTGACTCGGCACAGGCACTTGTTTCGTTTCTATTCGCAATACTCGGGGTTCTGTAGCAAAGGAGTATACACACGAGTGTAGTCGTTAATAACGTAGAAAATAAAAATCTATTGCTATAAAATGTAATAAAATGTGGTAGATTCCATGGTATATGTATGGAGACCCGTGAAGTAAAAATACATAAATTTACCGTCTCTACTCTCCTCCTCCGTTTCCGAAGTAACAGAAACCGGTGATTGAATAGGACTCTTGGCAGTGCTGGATTCATGCGTCGCACGACTGATGTTAAAGGACGACAAGGCCTCGGATTCTGATTGTGACTCATCGTCTATTTACAAAATAGGTAATATTAATGGCTCCAATAAATGTTTGGTAAACATTAAGTGATGACACAATAATTCTACGATACAGGATACAGATATAATGCATGCAAAGACAGAAAAGATTAAATTGGCTATTGAATGAAACTAACAAGGATCTCCTTTCTGTTTGCGTTCGATCTCTCTCTTGTATTGATCCAATTCTTGATCCGTGACGGCGTCAAAGGGATTTTTGGCATAGGGTGTCTTGTAGACCATTGCATTGTGTTGAAAACCACGCTGTATAATACCCTTACTAGCGGCTCCTACTAAAACTACTTGTTCTCCAGTACCACTAATTGTCGCGTCCTTATAAACAACGAGTATACAAGTTAAGGATGACAATTTTCTTCAGGAATTTAAAAATATAAAAAGAGATGCTATTGTATTGCAAATTTTACACTTGGGTATACATTTAAATTTGGATCGGGAAAATACTGTTTAATGGAAATGCTCTTTTTTTGGTGATTTTAATGCGTGTTAAATAGATTAAATCTATTCGAATTAATTCAAGTCGATTTTCAAAGATTTGACAATTATTAAACTTATGTACCTGCATTTTTTTAGCTTCCTCCCATGAAACACCTTCCAATATGTGGGATTGCGGACCAGCCGATATCTTGTCTGCTCGTCGATAATCTTTAATCTGTCAGGGAGATAAAAGCAAGTATCCAACTTGTACATTCCCATTTATGCAAATTCACTGATATAAGAAAGCAAAAACAAAGAGACAATAGAATATGATGCTAATGTAATTAGCAACACTTACCTGCTGTTGTATTTGTTTGAACTCCTTTGGGTTGGTATTCTTCGGTACAAACTGAAGAGCACCGTCTATCTTCACTGGTGTGCTGCTATGGGTAGGAGATCCGTCAGACACCCACTGCACACAAAACCAGAGCATTAGTTGACCCCCTTCAAACCATTGTAAGAAGCAATATTAACATAAGACTCTTGCATGCTATGTGTGCCTGCTGCATATTTGTCTCCTTTTTAAAATAGATTGTTCCATAATACAATTTAAACTGGGAAATAAATTCTCAATAGTATGATATTGCATTATAACATTATGTAGTTTGTGATAATTTATTTTTATACAAATCGTATATAAATCGATGTAATATTACATGTAATACTGCATAAAAATCAGCATCACAATTCAGAAATATGATAATATTAATTAATAATATACATATAACATTTCAAGGAAATAGAACAAAATTCGCGAAACACATAGGGTCATTTGATCTGGTTTTGTAAATGCAGTGGGATCAGTGTCATTAGGCCAGGGAGATCTTGATGACGAGATCAGGCACACATTCATACAGAGTCGTGAAACACTTGATACACTTTTATATATATTCTAGTTATATTATGATAAAAAAGTGTTTAAGATAAATGCATTTGTTAAATAAGATACAATTAAATCATTATTTTATTCTCGCCTCATGCAGTATTCAGATAAAATGGCATAAAACTCTAACGTGCTTCTATTTATAGATACACAAAACATTTAAAATCATTTTTGCTAGAGGATAATTCTGTACACAAATAGAATAGATGAACTAAAAATCATATAATTAGCGTCAATCGATATATTGTATGTAGGCACGATAATCTATACATAACTTTGCAATATATTATGAAAGACGCCAGGTTTATTAGTGTAGCATCATAGGCTATGAATAATGCTAATATAAAACACCATTAAAGTTGAAGTTTTATTAAAGTTGATATAATCATCCTCTTTAAACAGCACATATAACTTTATTTAAACATCAAGAAGCTACAGAAGAACAGTCGTTAATATCTTATATGTAAATATACTTATACTAACGATTGACTGGAATTCAACATGATAATATTTCATAACTTGTGTTTACGAAAATGTTAACCGCTCTCGTCCCTAGTCTTTCGTCTTACGCGTTTCATACTTAGCAGAAATATCTCTTCCTTTGTTAAACATTTTTTCACTGAGCTCTTTTATAATTTATAAAAATGAAATTATTCCTTTAGTTATGTATCAATGAAGCTTTGTTAAAACACAAACAAGTATACAATGAAAAAGATTGTACTGTCAGTCCCTGTAAAACATTTTTCAATCAACAATTAATTAAATTAAAAAATTATTTGATATTTGTTATTATGCAAAGCTTTAACATCTCTCTTTCTTTTATCATTTTATTTTAATATATTATTTGAAGGATGCACCAATAACAATTGGCTTTAATCTATACTTGTCATATCGTGAAACATTTATATCGCATGTAATGAAAATGTGTCCAATTAAAAATTGAATTATATAATAAATATTATTTCTTTTTGTTAATATTATGTTATAAATTTGACCAAAGCTTATATGCATAAATCACGTACGCAAATGCATACACATATA